TGGGGCCACTGCTGTTTGTCATTTTTATAAATGACCTGGATGAGGGCGTAGAAGGATGGGTTAGTAAATTTGCGGATGACACCAAAGTTGGTGGGGTTGTGGACAGTGCAGAAGGATGTTGCAGGTTACAGAGGGACATAGATAAGCTGCAGAGCTGGGCTGAGAGGTGGCAAATGGAGTTTAATGCGGAAAAGTGTGAGATGATTTACTTTGGAAGGAGTAACAGGAATACAGAGTACTGGGCTAATGGTAAGATTCTTGGTAGTGTGGATGAGCAGAGAGATCTCGGTGTCCATGTGCATAGATCACTGAAAGTTGGCACCCAAGTTGATAGCGTTGTTAAGACGGTGTACGGTATGTTAGGTTTTATTGGTAGAGGGATTGAGTTTCGGAGCCATGAGGTCATGTTGCAGCTGTACAAAACTCTGGTGCGGCCGCACTTGGAGTATTGCGTATAGTTCTGGTCACCGCATTATAGGAAGGATGTGGAAGCATTGGAAAGGGTGCAGAGGAGATTTACCAGGATGTTGCCTGGTATGGAGGGAAGGTCTTATGAGGAAAGGCTGAGGGTCTTGAGGTTGTTTTCGTTAGAAAGAAGGTTAAGAGGTGACTTGATAGAGACATACAAGATGATCAGAGGATTAGATAGGGTGGACAGTGGGAGCCTTTTTCCTTGGATGGTGATGGCTAGCACGAGGGAACATAGCTTTAAATTGAGGGGTGATAGATATAGGACAGATGTCAGAGGTAGGTTCTTTACTCAGGGAGTAGTAAGGGCGTGGAATGCCCTGCCTGCAAAAATAGTAGACTCGCCAACTTTAAGGGCATTTAAATGGTCATTGGATAAACATATGGATGATAATGGAATCGTTTAGGTTAGATGGGCTTCAGATTGGTTTCACAGGTCGGCGCAACATCGAGGGCCAAAGGGCCTGTACTGCGCTGTAATGTTCTATGTTCTATAAATGATGAAAAAAAGAGATCTGGAAAATTCTGTGCAAATCTGGTGCCATATTATAGGAAAGATGTGAAAACATTGGAAAGATTTACAGAATTGCAGCATCGATTTACAAGAAAGACTCCAGGAATGAGAAACCTCAGTTATGAGGATAGATTGAATAAGTAAGGGCTGTTCTCCTTGGAGAGAAGAAGATCAAGAGGTGATCTGATAGAGGTTTTCAAAATCATGAATGGGCTGGATAGAATAGACAGAGAGGCCACTCATCATCTTGAATTGGAAGTATATTGCCATTTCTTTAGTGTCACTGGATCGAAATCTTGGAACTTCCTCCCTCACAGCATTTCGGGTGCATCTACACCAAATGGACTGTGGCTGTTCAAGAAGGCAGCTCGCCACCACTCTCCCGAGTGCAATTACAGATGGACAAATATTGCTGGCTAAGCCAGCAAAATCCACTTCCCATGAATGAATAAAAGTATAAAAAAAACTTCTTGCAATTCCTTACCATACATTTTGCCATTAATTGTGCACTTGTTGAATATCATGATATTCTGTGTCAGGGTCCCTGTTTTATCAGAAAAAATATACTGGATTTGTCCAAGCTCCTCAGTTAATGTTGTTGTACGGGCTAATGCAGGAGTGTCCTTCTTTGGGTAGTACATTTTGGAATCCCAACCAATGTAGAAGCTGCTGCCCAAGCGTATAACTTCAATGCTAGTGTAAAAAACAGTTTAAAAAAATTAGTCATTGATTCTTCTTAAATATTGACAATTTGCCCTCAAAGTGAAGCAAATATCCATTGGGCTACTTCTTAAACACATTAAATTTATTTTTCTTTTTAACAATACATATTTCATTATAATAAGCCATGTTCTTAACAAGTACTGAAGTGCTCATATTTCATCCATTAGAACCAGAGAACCACACAAATGACACAGTACAGAAGGGGGCCATTTGACCCATCCTGTTCAAGGCAAAACTAAAAATGACGATGAGGAAATTGATAGACTTGCTATAGCATTGAAAATAATGATGTAAACTGATAAATAAATCACAAGATAGAACAAAGCATGAAAAGCATAATTCTGCAGATGCTGGAAATCTAAAAAAAAAGCTGAAAATGGTGGAGAAATTCAGGGGGTCTGGCAGCATCTGTGGAGATGACCAAGGTTATTGTTTTGAGTCTACTGTGTATAGCAGTCTAGTTTCTCATTGTCAGCATGTTCAGGTTACACCAAGAAACATAGGTCACATTGATTTGTCTGTGAACCAAAACATGGACCTGAAGTATATATTATCACCTCCTAGTTGCTTGCCATTTCAACAAACAACCTTGAAGTACAAGACATTCTCTGTCATTCCCACCATCTCCAGCAGGATGCCACAAACCAAAAGTATTTTCTCCTACCCTCCTCTGTCAGCATTCCACAGGGATTGTTCCCTCCATAACACCCTAACCTACTCCTCCATCACTCCTTTGACATTCCCTTATCACACTACCTCATGCAACCACAGAAGGTGTAATACTTGCCTATTCACCTTCTCCCTCTTCACTGTCCAAGACCCAAAACATACCTACCTGGTGAAGCAGCATTTCATTTGTAATTCTTTCAATCTAGTTTACTGCATTCGCTGCTCACACTGCAGTCTCCTTTATATTGGCAAAACCAAGTGCAGACTGGTTGACCATTTTGAAGAACAACTCCACTTTATCCATAGGCATGGACCCAACCTCCCAGTTACTTGCCATTTCAAGAAACCACCTTGCTCTCATGCTAACATATCTGTTCTGGGCCTGCTGCAATGTTCCAATGAAGCATAATGCAAGCTCAAGGAACAATACTTCATTTTCCAGTTAGGCATTCTACAGCCTCGAGGTCTCAATATTGAATTCAATAACTTTAGAAACTAAATGCTTTACATCTGTTCTCCAATTTTCTTTCTTTCACTCACTTATTTTCAGGCCCTAAGATGTAGTCATCAGGTCAAAGGGACCTTGTCAGCCTCCAGTTATGTTCCTTATACTGTTTCCCTAGTGATTGATCATTATAAGTTCCTCACTCCCTTTTTTCTTATTATATTTGGGATGCTTTATGTGTCTACTACCATGAAAGAAAGATACCATATACTCGTTCAATAACAAAGCAATTGTCTTGCATACTTAACTTCCCTTGTTGAATGCCTTTCGGAAATCCAAATATATGATATCTACTGTTATGGACCAAACAAAATCCCCTCAAAACATATTAACAAGATAGCCTAGACCCCAACTTTTCCTTAATTTTAAAGGCAAATGTAAGGCGTTGTGTTCTAGATGCAATTTGATTAGTCAGACTGCGGGGCTTGAAGTAAAACACACTTTATTCTTATACTCCAGTTAAAATACAGGCAAAATAAGAATAAAAACAAATCAGTTTAACTGTACCTCTATCGAAATAATTAACAAGATAACATGTTAACTACCACTGATTAGCTGTTCCAAGATAGTAACATACCATAAACACACCCTTGGCATTGGCAAATTCAGTAAAATAGATTGTCTCACATGCAACGTTTCTCCAGGAAGAAAGAACATCAAGAGAAAATTTTGAGAGACAGAGAGAGAGCCCAAATGTTTTGCTGTAGCAGGGAGAGATCTATAGCAGCTTCCAAACCCCAACATATACTAGAAGCTAAACTAAAATCCTGGTTCTATGGGAGCTTGACCTCACTTCTTCTATTGTACCAACTTTAAAAAAATGCCAAGGCCTCACAAGCTATTTACTTTATTAGCTTGGACCAGACTGCTCACCACCTCTGTCTCAACCTCTCTTCATAAAGAAAGGGACAAAATACACCTCTTAAAGCCATAGTGTTGTCATACCTCTCCCTTTAAAAGAAAATGAACCATCAATACACAAAGATGGCTTCATTTTTAAAAACCTTTCATTTTACGCTATTAGTACACTAACTCTAAGCATGCAAACGGTCAATACTACAGTCCATTTCTTCGCACAACCGAATACCTCTGTCTTCATTCATTAAAATCGTGACAACGTATCAACAATTATGCTGTCTTATCCTGCCAGATATATAATTTTCAAATTGAATGGCTGTAATAATAAGCTCCATCTAAATAGTCTGGAATTCTTATCCTTAAATTTTTCCCAAAACTTTAAGGGGTTATGATCGGTATACACAATTGTCTCTGACACATTACTGGCAACATAAATGTTGAAATGTTGCAATACCAACACCAAACTCAAGGTCTCCTTCTCAATTGTGGAATATTTCTGTTGACGAATATTCAGCTTTTTTGGAAAAATACCTAATAGGTCTTTCTATCTTCTCGTCATTTTCTTGCAAGAGAATAGCACTGACACCAACATCACTCGTATCGAAAGTCACTTTGAATTTGGTCTGCATAATTAGGTGTGGCTAACACCAGAGCAGTGGCCAACACAGCGCTCAAGTTGTCAAATGCCTTCTGACATTTCTCTGTCCACTTTTCTGCACTTTTTCAACAAGTCAGTCAGTACAGCAAGCACATTGCTAAAAATCAGTACAAACTTCTGATAAAAACCACTCAGTCCCAGGAATCATAGTACTTCCTTCTGTTGATGGTATGGTAAACTCCCCAATAACCTTTGTTTTCACATCCTATGGGCCATCTGTCCATGTTCAATGGAATGGCCCAGGAACGTGACTTGGACTTTTGCGAACTCACTCTTCGCCATGTTTATCACAAAGCCCAACTCCTGAAGTTGATCGGGCAGTTCTGATAGGTGCTCCAAATGTTCCTTGTATGTGTGACTAAAAATCACTAGATCATCTACGTACACCATACAATTGGGTAATCTTTAAATAATTTTATTGGTTAGTCTTTGAAATGTGGCTGGTGCATTTTTCATTTAATTTGAATTTCATTTGAATTTAAACTGGTACAGTCCATGCAGTATCATGAAAGCTGAAATTTCCTTCACTTTTTCAGACAAAGGTACCTGCCAGTATCCCCTGAGTAAGTCCAACTTAGAAATATAAGTTGCTTGTCCCACCTTCTCAATACAGTTTTCCATTCGTAGAAGAAGATATGAATCAGATTTTATCAGATTTTATAACTTGGCGATAATCGTTGGATACCCTCTAGTTTTGGTACCATTACTATGGGTGAGCTCAATTTGCTACAATTCACTTTATGTCATCTCTGAGTAAGCTTTCTATCTTGTTTTGTACCTGTGCCAACTTTAGAGGGTTAAGTCCATAAGGATGTTATTTAATTGGAACATTTCCCGCAAATCTCCTCATGTGATTATAATAACTCTTTCTGGTCATTTTGATTTTCCTCCGGAAGGAACTCAATAATTTATCGCAATTTTTGAGAACTTCCTCACTGTCCAATTTAATTTGAGTAATGTCTAATTCAGAATTATCTGAACTTAGTTCTTCATTCTCTGTTGTAACCAGTAACACATTCTCCTTTTGCTTTCCTTCCCCACCAAAATACCTTTTGAGCATATCCAGATGACACACTCGGAGATTCTTTGTATCTGGCATTCTTATCAAATAATTCATCTTACTCAATTTCTTTTCAATTTGATATGGTTGACTAAGCCTTGTCTTTAAAGGTTTACCTACCACTGGGAGTAACATGTACACTTTATCTTCATTAGCAAAATCGCAAACTTTTGATTTCTTGTCTGCTTGTTTCATCACATGCTGTGCCGCTTTCAAATGCTATCGAGCCAACTCACCTTCTCCATTTAATCTCTCCTTAAAATTTGATGAATGTGGTGTTTGAACTTTGACTCATCAATTTCTCCTTAATTATTTTCAGTGGTCCCCTCATGTCATGCCCAAAAACTGATTCAAATGGAGCAAATTTAGTTGAATCAGCAGATGCATCCCTAATTGCAAAACGTACAAATGGAATTCTTTTATCCCAATCCTCTGGATAGTCTTGACTATAAGCCCTCAACACGGTCTTTTAAAGGTTGATGCCACCGTTCTAATGCTTTCTGCAATTCTGGATTGCACGCAGTAGACTTGTATTGTTTATTCCTAAGCTATCCATAATTTCCTTGAATAACTTTGATGTAAAATTTGACCCCTGATGTGATTGTACTTCTGTGGGAACTCTATCTGGTAAAAAATTTGAGTAACATAAAATTTTAGACGTCATCCTGCATAATGACTACTGTTGACCATTATGGTCACAAATATTGATCCTCACTTTTTGATTTAGGTAGCAGTCACAGAGTCATAGAGTTGCACAGCACGGAAACAGACCCTTCGGTCCAACTCGTCCATGCCGACCAGATATCCTAAGTTAATCAAGCCCCATTTGCCAGCATTTGGCCCATATCCGTCTAAACACTTCCTATTCAGGTGCCCATTCAGATGCCTTTTAAATGTTGCAATTGTACCAGCTTCTACCACATCCTCTGGTAACTCATTCCAGACACACACCATCCACTGAGTGAAAACGTTGCCCCTTTTGTCCCTTTTAAATCTTTCCCCACTCACCTTAAACCTATGCACTCTAGTTTTGGACTCCCCTACCCTAGGGAAAAGATTTTATAAAACTCTATAAGGACCCTCTTCAACATCTGACACCCCAGGGAAAATTGCACCAGCCTATTCAGTCTCTCCCTATAGCTCAAACCCTCCAACCCCAACAATATCCTTGTAAATCTCTTCTGTACCCTTTCATGTTTAACAACATCTTTCCTATAGAA